CCAAACTTTTTTGGACCAAAGTGGCAATTTTGAGCAAACCACAGAGACCATTTGTACAGTTTTGTCTTTAAAGAATATTTATACTTTAAGTGTAAAATATCTAAACAAAAATAAACCAATTTTTTAGTTATATACTCTCCTTGAGAATAAATATTGCTTTAATTAAAGTTTATTTTTAAATACAAACTAAATTAAATTTAATTAATCATATAAATAACCTATATAATCATGGGCGGACACATGATTTCACAGTAAGGGGTGCATGGGAAAGCCAGGGGTAGCAAGGTAATAAAAAAAAAAAATTAAAAATTCGAAAATTTTCAAATATTTTTTCATTGCGGCCGGAAAGTCAGAGATTGCCGGTGCCACCATGAGCCCCCTAGGTCCGCCCCTGCATATAATAAACTTGTTAACAAATAATTCAAATACAAACATATGTTTCAAAAATAATAATTGAAAAATCCATATACTAGGTTTTTTTATGAGTGTCATTTAGGGATGTAAACGAGACAAACCAACTCGTAAGAATCACGAGGCCGACACAAAAAATACTCAAATTCAACTCGGCTTTAATCGAGCCAAGCTCGAGCTCGAGCTACTCGAATACCTTATAGAGCGCTTGCTTGAGTACTAAAATACTTGGCTCGTAAAGTCTGCGAACTTAGTTGAGCTCGCTGTAATTTACATATATGCCACTTCTTATATTCATTTATAACATAGATTTAGAAAAAAAAAAAAAAAAAGACTAAAATAACAAATACATCCCTTTATTCGCTTCCTTCGCAATTTGCCACCACGCCACCTCCACTTACAGGCCGCCACTACACTATCTCTACTTGTCACCGCAACTACACCATCCCTACTCGTCACCGCCGCTCCACCATCCCTAATCGCGGGCCTCCGCTTCACCGAAGGTTGCTGAGAAGTGAGAACGACGCAAGCTTCTCGTTTACAAAATCGGCATCGAAGCTGTAACTGAGTAAGTCCAGATTCCTTCATTTCGTTACTCAGACCAATTCTTTTGGTTTTCGCAATTGATTTCGATATATAACTGTAATAAATTGATTGTGGTTGTGTTAATGTTGTTAATGGTTTACAATGGTGGTTTGGTAAATGACATTTGCAATGAACGCACAAAGCAAAAAGGTAACAAACAAGTAAACTATGAACACCTTATGATGTTTTACAATGGTATTGGATCGTATTACAGAAATGCTGCGTTCGCTTCTCCGAGCAATCACCTCTGCCCAGGCGAAATCAACTCTCATCCCGACCTCCATTGAAGCATCGAATTCGAAATCTTCTCAGTTGGCATCTTCCAGAGCCTTCGCGGTAAAGAAAGCCAAATCCTCGGGTGCAAAGGCGGGCAATAAAAAAGCTCAGCCTAAATCCAAAGCAGATGTGAAAACAAAGTCGAAACAGGAAGAGGCTGTTGGTTCCTCCGTCGATGATGCAGCTCATGATCTCATCTCGGACGAAAGAAACCGGAGGCGCCTCCTCGATGAAAGATGCGCGCGATAAGTCACTTGACATCGGCCCTAACGGACGACCGTTGTTTACTTCCGCTGCTTCTTTATCTGAACTCAGTAGAAAGGACGCCTGTACTTACATGAAGTTAGGTATTGTCTATGCCTTTTATTTTACCAGTACTAAATTTTATCCATTGAATTTGATGTGGATTCATACTGGAACTTGGCTTTCTTTTGACATACAGTAGGAAGAAACTGGAGGAGGTGCTGCCGGAGGGATTACCAGTTGGAATGGAGAAGGAGTTTGATGAGTCAATGAGAGATGCATTGCTAGTAAGACACAGCTTCTTGGATCTGCGAGATAATTACAGGCGTATTGTTGATCCACCTTTGCAATCTACTAACAGCAAAGGTTTAGGTGTGGTTTTAGCTTATTGCTTCTATGAAACATTTCCTGTTTCTCATGAATCTTGTTTCAATCTCAGGTTTAAGTGTTGAGAAGCAAATAGTATTGGATGGGCCTGTAAGCTGTGGAAAGAGTATTGCTCTTGCAATGCTTGTTCATTGGGCACGTGATGAAGGCTGGTTGGTATTATATATTCCAGAAGGTCGAAGTTGGACTCATGGAGGACTTTTCTATAAAAACCCTCAAACTGGTTTGTGGGACACACCAGTACAAGCAGCCCAGATTTTACAGGTAAGAATTGTAATTTCTATCAACATGGAATTGACAAGTTAATCAATCAGATGTATTTCTTGTTAATTTGCAGGATTTCTTGAAGTACAATGAATCATCTCTAATGAAGCTGCCTTGTCAGAAGTTATATACAGGCAAAGGCTGATACGTCGTGAAGCATTCTCAGAGGAAGGATGGAAGAAGTTATATTTTCTTGCAAATGGAAATGGTTCAGAAATGAGATGGTTGCTTCCCTTCATGCGATGAAGTAAATTTTAAAGGCTGATTGCAAGAAAGTCATACAAATTGCAATTGGAAAATATTCAACTAGAAAATGAAGAAAATAATGCTTGGCGTCTTGGATTTCTGGAATCCTAGAAAATTTAACTTTAGGCTAGAGAAATGAACCTGTTTCTAAAATAGCACAGGAAGTCTTTATTTCAGATTCAATATCTTTCTGCAGCAACACTTAATGGGAAAAAAAAGGCACGTACAACATAAAGATGACACATGTCACGCAATGCATCATCAGATCCGACTCTTCCATATTTGCTCAAAGCATGCATTCCATATTTGCTTAGAATCATCGTTGTAACTACACTTTGTTTATTAATCTCGTCCTTGTCCACCAAGAAAATAATAACAACACTAAACCACAACATCTTTAAAATTTTAGCAGTTCAAGTATTGATTATACGATCAACGAAGACACAGACAAATACATACCTTGGGACGTTGAATTATTGATAGATAGTTTCTCAAAATCCAACAATGCTCGCTTCACTAGTCTTTCATTGACTTCAAGCCCTAATACACCAGAACATAAGAGTAATTTTCAAAAATAGCAGCTTCAACCATTGATGAGTCTCCGTGCAGCTTCGAAACAGAGATGGGATGGTTTTCAGGAGGAAGAGCGTAAATTTTAGTTTCAGGACATTTAGGGGGTGTTTGTGTATGAATCAAGAGCTTAAGAACTTGAGAATTTATTATATAATTTTTTTTTGATTCGTTTATGACTTATTAGCTAATAAGTTTTTTGAAAAATAATGTTTGGACTAGCTTATTTTTGTAAAATGACTAAAAAATAGAATAATATAGTGTTGGGAAACGAAGAATGGGTTAATGACCTAAAAAGGTAACGAACTTTGGTTTTTGTCCACATTTAGGTAACTATGTTTTTTTCGTTTATATTTGACCATTGAATTTGTTCAACCTATTCAAAATAGGGTAATATGACTGGTAATTATGGTAATATTACCCGATTATGAACAGGTCAAACAAGTTTATTGGTCAAATGTGTACTATGAAAACATGTTTACCTAAATATGGACAAAAACCAAAGTTTCTTACCCGTTTTGGTAATATTGGACAAGAACCGTCTCAGGGCACACCCTGGGGATCAGGCTCTGGCATTGACAGTCAATGAACAAATTAGGTTAGACTTGGTCTAACCAAGTTCAGTCTCAGCTAGTCATGGGCTAGATTGTGTTGCTAGGTCTTTAAATCACATACAACCTAGCCCTTTAAGCGTATACAACCTAGCCCCTAACTAGCTGAGCCTAAACTGGGTTGGCCCAAGACATGACCATCTTCTCATACACAAGACCGGACAACCCAATTTCACATCAATGGGTGTTATGACTACTTGCATTTAACATAAATAACCCAATATTACCAAAATGGGTAAGGAAATTTGGTTTTTGTCCATATTTAGGTAACCATGTTTTTTTCGTATACATTTGACCAGTAAACTTGTTTGACCTGTTCATAATAGGGTAATGTTACCGCTAATTACCAGTCATATTACCTTATTTTGAACATGTTAAACAAGTTCAATGGTCAAATGTGTACGAAAAAAACATGGTTACTTTAATGTGAACAAAGACCAAAGTTCGTTGCCTTTCTAGTTCATTAACCCAAGAAGAATTATTTAGGGTTGAGGATAAATAGGTAAATATAAACAAATAAGCTAATCATTTGGAAAACAAAGTTGTTTTCACTTGGCTTATTTTTAAATAAAATAAGTTAACCCAAACACTATTTTTTTATAAGCCCAAAAAATAAGCTAAAAATAAAAAGCTTGAAAAATAAGCTAAAACAACCACTCCTTAATTTAATTTAGGGGAAATGAGTTACGACTTACGAGCATAACCACTTAACCAGGTAGGCAAGTATAAAAAATATTCAAAATATACCGGTTAGTATATAAAACATTAGTAAATTATTGTCATTTTTTTTTTGTTCAAATCAGACCTTATTCTTATCATACATGTAACACTATCCAAAATCCAAATATTTTGTTCTAAGTGGGACCTTATGGTCACCGGTTGCTTCACTTACGCCTTGTTCCCGAGTTTCACTTAAGGAGAGAAATGGGAGGATACGGAGGGAAAGTGAGGGGTGTCGAAGGAAAATCGTGTTCCCGAGTTTCATTAATGGAAGGAAAGTGAGGGCAGGGGAAGGATTTTGGAGTCATATTTTCCTTCCAAATTGGACGGATTTGGAAAGAAAGTGAGGGGAAGGAAAATTTTTAGTTTTATTTTCTTTTTTCTCCTAACTCGGGAACACAAAAACTTAAAATTTTCCTTTCCTTTCATTTCCTTCGAACTCGGGAACACGGAATAATGAATATTTTCCTTCACCTCCCTTTCTTTCCGTCAAAATTTTCCTTCCCTTTTCTTTAATGAATTTACAAAAAAACTCGGGAACAAGGCTTTAAGGTTCCAAATACAACAAACTAAATAAAGGAAAATGTCAATTGCATGTCATTTCAGATAACAAAAATCATCATTAAAACCCCATATTACTATTAGTGAGTTAACCAAATTCATTACCACCACCTGCTACTCTTTCTTTATAAACCTTAACGGGTCGATCCTAATTTCTCATCCTTTTGAAAAGATCATAGGTTAAAGAAAACAATAATAGGGTTTAACAGGAAGAATTGTTTTCCTTGTTATTTAATAAAAAGAGAGAGTTATTAGAATTATATACAAGAGAGGCTTAGCAAGCAACATAACGTCCTCGTTTTGGGTCATTTGCTATGATTTTTTTTTTTTTTTTTTTTTTTTCGGGTTAGAAGTTTTGTGAATGTGGTTGTCAGTCTTTGTTGGAATCCTAAGTCGATGAGGACTTGGAGACCAAACAATCTAATTTATGAAAAGTTGAGTTTATGACAAGTTGATCATAAGTTTCCTAGTCTAATACAAGTTGGTATGTTAGGCTATATATACATGTCTATAATCGAGTTTATGATTATGAGAACAGATTGTAAAACATCGGTTTTGAGTTAGTTTCCGATTAATGAAAGAGTTATTTTGGTTATTTTCTTTTGCATTCTTGTTTTATAAACTTTAGTCTTTAGTTGTTTATATAGAGAGAAATAATTCAATATCCCATAATTGTTCTTCTGATATCGAAAAGACTCTGTAACATCCTTGTTTTGGGCACAGATGTGTAATCTCTTTGGTAGAAGATTGGTGAATGTGGTTGTTAATATTTAGCTGTTATGTTTTTGAAAATATTATACACATTAACATATATAATTGTTAATGCAAAGATGTGTAAGTATGCTATGCATATATTTGTGTATTTCAACATCAAACGAAAATCTATTATTACTAGCAAGAAACTAGAAAATACTTACGTATTAAAAAGAATTAAGTGACGAATCAACTAAAAGACATATGGCGTAGTGGTAGAGGTGTATTGGAAATATACTTTTGAGTCGATTCGAAAAGAGTGCTCACATGGATCTCGTTGTGTAAAATGGAACACGAGTACAAATATTATTGAATTTGATTTTGATGCCATTTAGTGGGTCGCATTATAGGTTATGCTTGGTGACATGTGATTTAATGTTGATCATCATGTAATTGGTGGATAACCATTTACATTTTAGGACATATAACTTTGGGACGTAGGGCTTATGTGTGTCTTATGGATTATGGAGTGTGGTAGGGCTTATGTGTGTCTTATGGATTATGGAGTGTGGCTTAAGGCTTATAGATTATGGATATTAAAATTTTGCAATACTTGTATAGGTATGTATAAAAAAATAATCATACATACTCATAGAAATGGAGAGATGCAAACATGGGGCTTAGGGCTAATGATGTATGGCTAAAGGCATACCGCTTATAGTGTAGGAGTTAGGGTTTAGGGCTTATAGATAATGACTTATGACTTTTGGTTAGCTTAGTGTAACACCGAGGATTTCATACCAAGTACACCTAAAAAGAAATTTCAATTATCATTTGAAGGTTTACAATAGTTTTGGTGTACAATAACTTTCGGTGTAAATTTCATATATTACTTTTAAAGCCCTTCTCTTTTGATCGGCTAAAATGAAATCCACAAAAATTACAAAACCCCGCTTTTACCCGCCTATTAAAAATTCCCATAAATTTGATTTCTACCAGATTAAAAGACTTTATAATTTTGAATTTCACCTTAGCCTTGTAATTACCTCTGCTCCTAAGTCGTTCCCACTCATTCCCTAAATCCCTAATCTACATAGTCGTCACCATTATCGATCCTGACTCTAGCCTCGAAAGTCGCAGACACTTAACCTCACAACTCGTCGCCCTCAACCTCGCAAGTCGCCGCCGCTGCCTTCTTTGAGTGCACTACCATGAGCCCTGAAGGACTTCGTTTGGATGAACGTCATTCCCTAGAGGTGTTGTGTTCTATCTCAATTCTCTAAGTTTCGTGTAATTCTACTTGTGCTTTATTGAATTTTGATTCATAATTTTAATATGTTCATTTGCTTTGTTTTAATCACAGATGAGGCAACTTCGAGAAGAATTAGGAGCTGTTTCCAGAGTTGACGGCTAGGGTTTCTATGTTTAGTTAAATACGAGAATAATGGTATTTGTGAAAATTTGGATGGGTTTTGGTTAAGTTTGGCTGAAATTTCGTCATTTTTGATGATGATAGGTCGGCAGTTTTTGAGATGGATATCACCAAAGTCGTTGTTGTAGTTTATGTGATAAGGCACAAAACAGTGTATAAATAACACATTTAGCTGAAATCTTTAGTCCCTGATATACATAGGTACTCCATCCTCAAACACATAAGACACCTGGATCCATTTTAGTGATGATGCATGAATCACGAGCAAACTATATTTCAACTATCGATAGGTGTGGACTGCATCTCATGTTGTTAATAGAAAATACTATAATCATAAAGAGATTAATCTTAACAAGGTTTCATCATAAACAATTTTCTTTCCAAATTTCAACATAGAAAATAAGTTGATATCCAACTTTAGTTTGCATTTATATATTTAGATGTCGCATTCTATTTGAGAGGATGAGTATACTAACGCTTAAAGCTATACAAATGGATAAACTTAATTTTTTTTAACAATAAAGTGCAATTGGACTTTTTTTTTTATTCTTGTAAAGGATAATCCTCAGCAGCTTGCTTGATAGAGAATTTTCCTCTCGTTTGTTGGCTTTGGTTTCCTGGTTTCATTGGGTTATCTTGATCCTGGGAATTGTATGTCTGCTTTTGATCATTTGATATCTTATTTTGCATTATCTAGTTGCAAACTTATTAATCATTTTTATGCAGTTGAAACTGATTTACAAACAAGAGTTGACCATAGACACAAGGTAAATGTTCATGCCTGGAACTCTCATAGCTATAGTATAAAGAAATACCACTCACTTTGATCATTGAATACTTTAATCTTTTCAGCTAATTTGGAGAATTCTGATCGGATTAATCTTTGCACTTGTAATTCAATCACTTGCTATAAATTTCTGAGTATGCATTGGAATGATAAATAATCCATCTTATATATGAATTTGTTTACTTATTGTGAAACTAAAATAAATATCTAGAAATTATGAGGTTTTTGTTCATGGAAGCATCTATCAGAAAGTGCAAGGCTGAATACCAATATTTGTGAAATATTAGCCGACATTATAGAAGGTAAATAAGAAACTTATATATGACTATGAAGATTATTTAATTGATTATTCATTAAAATTGTGATATCTCTTCTCTTTCATGTTGACAGTGATTGGGTCAACTTTTGCACTAAATATCTTATCCAAGCTTTCATTTTGGGTTATGGTCTTGGAGAGGTACTTTTCTGAATCGATTTTCTATTTTTTTTCTTCAACAAAGCTTAAAATGATTCTTAATTTGAGATGTAATGATTAATGATGTTACAAGTATTAACAATGCTTGACTTTGCTAATCATCATCTGCACTAAAAGCACTCAAATTTCTTTTCTCAAGTTCCAAACAAAGGAGACTACAATTGAATCATAAGGCACTGGTAAAGAGCAATCATCACTTATTTTCCAAACTGTTATATGTTTTAGTTCTTATATCATTGAAGCCTCTTAATATTGTTATTAGAACACCTTTTGCAGATAAGATGCAAAGCAGGAGATCATTACTAAACAAGTTTATATGAAGAGGGATTGAGGGTGGTGGAACAAAAATTGTAAATCTTTGTCTTAATGACATACTTCTGGTATAGTCGAATGCACGACAAGGGTTATGGAACAAATGGTTTCCATTTTATGACAAGGAGTGTTAATAAGTTGGAGAAGTAATCTACATTTCATTTTATGACTTATATTTCATATTTTGTTTGTACACATGGTAGATATATTTTGATTACAACTTTTTTGTATAATATTAATATTATTTCTTGTTTACTCCTATAATATCTATTTGCAACATTTTAATATTGTCGTGGTCCATTTATAAATGTGACCGAATGTTAACTAGGACCATGATTACAAAATTAAATATGGCTAAAGGATAACAACTAGCTACACCAATTAGAACTATGTATCAGAAAATGTGAACAATAGTCATATTTTTTTCTTTATGAGATTTCTTTATGTGGCTAAATGATATAATATGTCACAGTTGAACATTTAAAAATGTCATTAAAGGTAACAAATAGCCACATCAATTACAAAAAATGTGTTGCTATACGTAATATTTAGCGATGGTTTTAACAATTATGTATCACTAAAAGCACAATGGTCACATTTTTTCTTTAAGACTTATCTTTATGTGACTAAATAATACCAAATGTCATAGTTTAACATAAATAAATGTCACTAGAGGGTAACAAATAGCCACAACAATTAGAAACAATGGGTTGCTATAAGTACTATTCATCGATAGTTTTAACAATTATGTATCACGAAAAGAAAACAATGGTCACATTTTGTTCTTTAGGTGTTTTGTTTATGTGACTAAAGGATTTCATATGTCACATTTTACCATAAACGAATGTCACTAAAGGGTAAGAAATGGCCACATCATTTAGAAAACATGCGTTGCTATAAGTAATATTCAATGATGGTTTTAATACCCAACTAATGGTCACATTTTTTTCTTTGTGAGTTTTTCTTTATGTGACTAAATGATATCATACATCGCTTTAATATAAATTAATGTGACTAAAGGGTAAACAATAGTCACATCAAATACAAACTAACCATGGTTAACACAAACTCGACTCACTTTATATGTGACTAAAAGGTAGGTTATAGCCATACTTAAATGTTGAATTTCAATATGGCCATAAGATACCTATGGTGTCACGACATACAATCACACTTTGGACGGAAAAAAATAAGTGTGACCATAGGATACAGTCACATTTTTTAGGCCTTAAAACATGTGGTTGTAAGTCATTTTTCTTGTAGTGTGTATGTGTGTGTGTATGTGTATATATATATATATATTAAAATTGTTATGTGAAATACCCAAGTGTTTGAAAAATGAAGGTTTTTGGCTCGAGCCTACGATCTTTCAATTGAGAACCCAACCAAATAATATGTGTCATCACGCTCTTAGTACTTAGTCATACTTATTCTTACACCTTTGGGGTTAAGAGGGGCTATTATTGTTTTCACACAACCAAAAAGCATCAGAAGACGTTGAAGAACTTCCAAGTATCTATACTCAAGCTCAATTCAAATACAAATATGATCAAATCCGATGAAGCCATAAAAGAACTTGAAGAATGCACAATCAAGATAAATATGAAGAAAAGTTTAAGTGGAAGACATTGTGTGAAATAATATGTGACCCCTCGATAGCGGGTGTGTATGGGTTGGTCCATTAAGTGTTACCGACCGCACTAACTATGTTAATGAACCTTGAAAAGGGACTTTGGCAATGAGTTCAACCGAGTACTCAGGATGTTGATTGTTGGAAAGGGTTCAGAAAATAGAGAGTTTCAAACAACAAAGTAAAATAAGCATAACATGTATTTTGTGTTTAAAAGTCCGGATAAGCAACTAATAATCCCCAAAATCAATAGATCGTGCTTATTGAAAATGTTTTGATAAAATGTACGGAAGCATTGAGTTTTTCTTAGGATTAAAGAGTAAGACTATACTGATTATTTCAGGACGAGTTTGGAATAAATTTGGGGAGGTTTTATCGGTCTATATTTAAACACAATAAATCATATTAAATCTATTGAATTGATGTGTGATTGCCCAAGAATGACACTACTTTGATGGAATGTTGAACATTAAGTGCAGGTAATTATAAAGTCTAAAAAGTGGGCAGAACCTGCAAGAAAAACGAGTAAAAGGAAGCTAACAAGCATGATGACAATTTTTGCAAAGTTATGAAGAAAAATATTGGTGGGAAAACGGAACACTCTTTAATGTTTTGGTCATATCTCAAGCTCTTGAGCTCCGATTGACCTGAGTCAAGAACTTTCGAAAACTATAGAGAATTCCCTACAAATTTCGTGTTTTGAGTTTCTATTGATTCTGTCGTTTTCATCGCCAAAATATATCCGAAAAAACGAAGGACACGGATCAGGCGTCAATGACACCCTGAAGGACGCCTAGGTCAAAATAGTCAACATCTCAACATATTCGGAGCAAGGAAATGAGGAAGGCCCTGTCAGCGTTATACATGGTGCCTATAGCTTTACCAAGGATGCCAGGGCGTTATTGGGGCGTCTCGTGTTGGAACGACTTGTTATGTAAAGTGCTCGGATTTGTGAAGGATGTCCTACATTGCGTCTAAGACGTCCCCTAGGACGCCGACCATTTTAGGAACTTTTTTAATGTAAATAAAGGATGACAGAGTGCATGCAAAGAAGCACAAAGGATGCTTAGGCGTCATACATCACGTCAATGACGTCTATTAGACGTCCAACGTCCTATATCATCCGATTTCACTATTTTCTACCACACAATATAAATAGGGACCTATGAACTCATTTTTAGGGTTCCCACTTCCGAAAATTAGAGTTCTTACCTGTGTTTTTGAGGCTTCTAAACCCTTAGAATCATCTTAAAATGCAATTCCATTCCATTTCAATCCGGATTCAAGGCGATATCTCGTTCAATTCATCATCAAACAATGTTTGAAAATCATTCAACCGGTGAATCTCATCAATTCTAGTAATTTTCAGAAATGATTACTTGTTCCCTAAGGTTTATTTGTTTCATCCTTTGATAATAATTAGGTTACAATTGTTGAATGATTTTAAGTTTGTTTATGAACTCTATTACGCATTTTATTCATTTCATCCAAGTTATGGTTTTTATAAACTCAATGTTCAACCATTAGGGTTACTTCTGGGGATGTGTATGAGTTTTGGATGAACACAGTTTATCACTACTTGGTTCTAGTTAATTTCTATTGTTTCTTATGGTTTATAAACTCAATTTTGGGGCCCCACATAACTTCTGCCTCAGAGTCTCAAATGCGGTCTGTTGCTCAGGCCCCCAATGAAAATCCACACTCTTCCTCATTAAGCGAGTCAAAGGAACCGTAATCTCAAAAAAAATCCTGAATGAACCTATGATAGTAACCTGCTAACACCAGAAAACTCCTGATCTCAGATGGGGACTTCGTACCTCCCACTGTATAACGACCTCAATCTTGGACGGGTCGACAAGAATCCCGTTATGATTGATGAGGTGTCCCAAGAACTGAACCTCTCGTAACCAGAACTCACACTTGGAGAACTTAGCATAAAGCCTCTCCTGCCTCAATACCCCAAGTAACACTCGTAGATACTCCTCATGTTGCTCCCTGGTCTTGGAGTAGACTAAAATATCATCAATGAAAATCATAACCGACCGATCGAGTATCGGCCTGTATACGTGGTTTATCAAATCCATAAACACCGTAGGTGCATTGGTGAGCCCAAACAACATCACCACGAACTCATAATGGCAATAACGAGTTCAGAACGATGTCTTCTCCATGTCCTCCTCCCTGAACCTCATCTGATGGTATCCCGACCTCAGATCAATCTTGGGGAACCAAAATGCACCCTGCAATTGATCGAAAAGATCATCAATCCTAGGAAGTGGGTAATGATTTTTCACCAACAACTTGTTCAACTCCCGATAATGTATTCATATATGGTGAGACCCATACTTCTTCTTCATAAATAGAATTAGTGCTCCTCAGGGTGAACTGCTCGGCCTGATAAACTGTTTGCCCAACAATTCTTGAAGCTGAGAGGACAACTCTTGCATCTTTGGTGGTGGAAGGCGATACGATGCCTTAACATTTGGAGCTGCATCGGGGATCAGATCAATCCTAAACTCCACCTGCCTTGTGGGAGGCACTCTGGGTAATTCCTTCGGAAAAACATATGGAAACTCTCTAGCCAATGGCACATTTACGACTGACTTCTTCCCCTGAAATCGAGTGTCAACCACATAAGCATGATAACCCGGACACCTATGATGGAAATACTGCCTAGCCCTGGCAGCCGAACAAAAAGCTGAACCAACCCTGGTACCCTTTCCATAAATGTTTAGTTCTCCCCCACTTGGGGTTCAAACTACCACTAACTGTTTCTCGAAATCGATCACAACTCCAAACCTACTTAGCCAGTCCAATCCCACAATCACGCATACATCCCCCATACGGATGGGAATCAAGTCAATGGGGGCAGGGCACCCCGAAGATCTCCAAAGTACAACCGCAAAACACACTCAAAGTAGAAACCTTGTGTTTGTTGGTGATGGGAACTCAAAACGGATACTCCTACTTTCGCAGGGTCATAACGAAATCCTTATTAAAAGACTGAGATATAAAGGATCGACTCGCACGCGAGTCAAAAAGTACAAGAGCAGACAAGGAGTTCACTAAGAAGGTACCTATCAGAATCACAAACATAAGCATTCAAAATATAAATTGAGAAAATAATGAATGAATACATACCGGTAATGAATTCAAGCGCCACCATGGCCTCCTCGGCTATAAGCTAAACGCACAACCCCTGGCCCTTAGGGGTTCGACCGTCCCCTGGCGTCCATCTGTGATCCGAAGGATAGTCGGAGCCGGTGCTTGCACTGGCCTAGAAGTGATCAAGGGAAAGTTGGCCTTCACATGACCAAACTGATCATAGTGATAGTAAATCATGGTGCTCGGCGGCAGAGCCTGCCGACGACAGTCCCTCACATAGTGACCCTCCCTGCGGCAATTTGAGCATCCCGTAACTGATCTTCATGCCCCATCATGCATATTCCTACACTTGCTACAAGTATTGCCCCTCTGTCCTCTGGATCATGAATCAGATCTGAATTAGGGACTGCCTCTTC